ATAACAGTTATTACAAATAATAATTTATGTACAAAAGATTTACAAAGTTACAAACATAATCGAGTCTTCTTTCTGGTCTGGAACTTCCTTGATGTCTCATCGAGGGTTCACGATGAGCGAATTAATTTTGAGTTGATGCAGAAGCAATTCACTTAACAGGGAGCTAGTTAGCTTTGTGGCCCTCGCTGATCACACGCCAATTACAGGTGGAGTTGTTTTTTTTCCGCTGAAGTTATATAATGTCTTCGTAAAAGTACTAATGTCCGATGTGAATTCACTGAAGTTAAATGGTTTGTAATGTTCGAAACCTATAAATGTTCCTGGTCAAATATCCCTATTAATAAGCGTTATAACAATTACAGTTATAGCTTCCGAAGTTTATAGCACACCAACTATAGCAAACCAATAATAGATACTGTCTTTTGGCGCGTCGTGTTGGTTATATTTATAGCCGAGTGGAGGCTTAATTGATATTTCAGTTTTACGTTACAATACTGATGCTAACACAAGTATTTACGCACACACACATACATTGTTCATTCTTACTCTCGAGAATAATGCTTATCAATCGGAAAACTATATATCGATATTATTTAACTATATATCGATTTTAATTTAACTACTAAATCCAAAGTACAATTTAACTACTAAATTTAAAATTCTAATACGTTACAAAAGTCACATTATCGGCATCATTAAATAAGCATTTATCAACCTTTTATGCTTCTGCTATCACCTTTTTATGTTTAGCTTTCAATTGAGATATGAACGATTTCACATGTGATTCGGTAGGGAAGGTGAAAGCATCACGATAGTCAGCAGTATGATGAGCATACAGGAGCACTTTGAAGGCAGGTACAGGCATAATATTGTTCTCGGCTTGCTGCACAACATCTACCAAACGATTTCTGAATACCCCTGCGTGTCATTTGGAAACTCCCATGCTTCTTGTGCTTGGCCATTGAGTTCGTGATGCGCTGACGGATTTCAGTCACCTTACCACTTCAAATCATTTTTCGTAGCCCCAACGCTAAGAGAGTGCGGGAAATGCCTTCTTTTCAGGCAATAAAAATGTCAAAAAAATTTCAGTTCAAATTAAGGCAAACCGGATTAGACAGTTTTAAAAAAATGTATCACACTGGCTAGTGAATGGCCTCTTAAAATTTAATTATGCTGTCGCTTGATAAACATTTTACGTCGATGTCATTAACTGCCACCGGCCGCTTGGAATGCTGCCATTAGCCTGATTACACCTTTAAGACTGAGTGGACTGTTATAGCAATATGGGATTTTCGATTATATATCTATATGCCTATAATGTATGTGAACGTCTTTTTCGTTTTTCGAGTAAAAACAAAAATAATAGGAATCAAAGGCCTAATAAGTATTTTTAAAATCACGTTTGTCTACAGATATTTTTTTCATATTCTTCTTATTTAGTCCGACACATATTTTAAATGACTACTGATTTATATTATATCATTTCTTTTTACTACGCAATTACTCTTTCCATGAATTAGTAATTATTTATTTTATTGTTGCTTAGGTTAATGCATAGTAGGCCTTCATTCCGCCTCCAAGGCAAAAAAAGATAGATATATCTGGAATACTTTCCTCTCACATACCACTGATTTAAACATCTGATTTTAAGTCGGTAATAACTAAAAGTAATGTGGAAAAAAAATCTCAAGTTATGCATGATTTTCATTACACTTTCTTTTTTTGCGTAACGAAGGTTCCTTCCTTCACTAGCTAAGTTGTTTGGCGCCACATCATAAAGTAATTTGAGCAATTTTTTTTATTTTTTTTTTTATCGAAGTGG